TTGTAACAAAACAATTATGTTAACCGACGTGTTTTGAAAAAGGCTTAAAAATATTCTGACAATGCCATATTATTTATCTAGACTTTATTTCACAATTCATCTTTTTAAATAGTCAAAGGACGAGATAAGCAGAGCATTGACCTGAGATTCAATGTAAACGCATTTAGTTTTCGCACGATACCATGGAGACCGGGGCGACGGCCTCTGATGCACCGTCCAAAATGTATTTGGACAAAATTCTTCCTAATCATAATTAACTTCTTTTTACTTGATTCAGTTTAACTAACATCATTTACTATGTCAATGAAACAGCTGCCGCTTCACCAGCCACAAATAAAAAGCCAGGTAAGAAGGCGTAATACAGGAGTAAGTTGTCTTGTACTGGAGCCAAAGAATGGGAGTGCGTCCAGCATCAAGTGGTGATCCTTTGGTGCTTGGCAGGTTGGGCATTCCTCTGGTTGCCGTTAGCTTTCCTAGCGCTGGCCCTATGTGACAATTTTTTTACATAGAAATTCTAATCGCATATCTGACAAACCTTTTTTATGTAAAGCGTACTTTTACAATATAATGCTCTATCACCACGACGTATTTCATTTGACGGATAAACGGCATCTACATTTTAGAAGTTACTATTTCAATCACTTACTCGTCTAATTTTGCGCGTTTGTAATATCACGTGTTATTTATGACATAGCAAGGGTTTTACATAACAATAACTATATACTACAGCGTCCCTGACCCTGCACCATAATACATAATTGTCAATAATTATGCAGTGAGGCCACGATCTCCAAGTTTTCACGCCAACTGCGACCTTGCGACAGAACAATCCTTCTTGTATATCATTATTTTCATGATGGCTATTAGTTTAAAGAAAATAATATGTGTATACTTAAATAAGAAATATGTATTTTATTCAGTAATAAATTATGTTCAGTAAGCTCCGCTTTACAAAGAGTTAGAAATCCATACACACTACACCGATGAGCTTTAAAAGCCATGCATTGGACTATAAGTGGTGTAAGCGGCTTTATTTATTTTATTTTTAAACACATTCACGTTGCCTTAAAATACACGTTTAAAGAGTAAAGTTTTCCATGGAGGAAATCATAATACAAGCAAAACGTTACATTCAAAGTTCATTTACCGATGTGATTTATTTTTTTGCCCAAGCAAAATTATTCCGGTTTTAAGTTGAGCAATCCAGTGTTTAATGTGACGACCGATCGCATTTATAAATATAACCTTGAATAATTTATTGTAATACCAATAAATACTTACATATTTACGTAGAGGGTTCACTTTACGCTGAACTGCAGCAAACTATAGAATATGTGCCGCTTGTCACCAGTTTGTTGAAGTCAGTCTAATGATGGTTAAAGTTAGTAATTAATTTCATATCTTCCAAATGATTTACTTAATCGCTTTATTGTTTTGTTTTTTATGGTGATGTTGTAAGTAACGCTCACCCGTTATATAATTCGGTTGTTATCCTGCCTCCTTTAAAGCTATTGAACATTCAGAGTAATACTGACATCTTGATCGAACATATATATTCGTAACCACGCAATAAACGCTCAAATATCCTAGAAACGTGGGATTACCCGCAGTTATAGGCACTAAGAAATTTTATACGATATATTTATCGGATTCTTAGATATACGTTGGCAGATTCGTTCTCTTCTTGATCGTTGGTAAAGAAAAGGAAAAACGAATCTCTTTTCCTGTCAGATTATCACACAATAACTTAATAATTGCTACTTAGGAATATTAATGTTCACAACAATTGGCCCTGTAAAAGTATCTTTGAAAGTCTTCATAGTCATCGTATCGACAATTCTTATTTCAATTAAATTAAATTAAATATTTTAATGTATACATTAATAATATGGCATACATGTTTTATCGGTTTATAATTTTATAACAGATGGCGTTAGAAATTAAATAAAAATTATATGATGATTAAATAAATCAGTTAAGATTTGTCAAGACGAGCGACTTCTAAATCCCTTCGGATTTAAAAATCTTTGCAGAAAAACATAAAATAATTTATTTATATGTTTATTAAACTACTTATCAGAAACATCAAGAGGCAAAATAAAAATATTGAATAATTCAAATGTTAATTATAACGCTCGCGTTGATCTGATTTTTTTTACTTGTTATCATGCAACGAGATGTCACGGTCGAAATATAGTTATCTATTCTGTTTTATCACGATTTAAAGAAGGTTTATTAAATTGATAAAAAAAGGCAAAAGGCGTTTATATGCATGGCCTAAATATAATTATATTCAAATATATTAAATGTAACCAATTACACATTTAAATACAGATTTTCGACTTACCTTAAGGAATCAAATTTTCTCGCTTATTTATGAAGCTCGCCATAGCCACAAGATTTGCAACATTTTCATAATGTTTTAATCGTTTAGTTATAATAGTTTTAAATCAAAATGTTCAAAAACTCTTGTCATATTTCCGGAAATAATTCATTCAATGCAAAATTACAGCGAAATCCATCCAGTGGTTCTGGAGATATTCCCTAACAAACATCCATCCATACATAAATATAAACATTCGCATGCTGATAATACAACGTTCAAATATATATTTCTAAAACGCATATTATTAAACCTGACAATGTTTTATATGCTGCATGCTGATCGTGAAATCTAAATAAAAATTATTATTTTTTTATTTTATTACTTCGTATTTTATTATTACAGTCATTCTCCTATATTTATATTATATATGTAGATATTTGTATATTATGTAGAATAGAATTAATAAAAGCATCAGTCACCTCATGTTAGGTCACAAGGTAATCTCGTTTACGTGAACGTCAAAGATTATGACCGTTATAACACCTCTACTGTAATATTCATAAAAGAAATTTACATTCAGTGTGATATCCACAAGGATATCTGGACCGATGGAGATAAGTGAAACTAAATTATGACAGCTCATTAGGGCTTCTAGTAGCGTTGCGGATATTGCCCGAAACAAACTCAGCCTTGCGAACAGACAGACAAACAAAATTTAACTCAAACGAGACGCGGAGTTACTTGCACATCAAGCTCGCCTTCTTCAATGTGGTCTTGGTATTGCACCGTGCGAGCCGGCCCATTTGTACAACTGATCTTATTGTTGATCGCGCTTACCACTTCTACCGGCTTGGTTGATTTCATCAATTTCATCATCAAATAAACATGAACTTCGAAATTAGAACAACATTGGTACATGGCGAGGATTGACGTAGAAGTATAGATTGTACTCTGCCACTGAGGCCCTCAAATAATTAAGTACCCTGCCCAAATTCGATGGTAATTATTCATAATCGCTTTGACCGTAACCAATGCCGCAGCGAGTCAATAACTTTGATTCGTTGAATTGGTGCGCGATGCAAAGCGATCCTTTGCCTGTGATTTTATCCAAGTTTCGGAATTTAAGGGAACTAAGTTACATCTGACTTTTTGCAGAACAATAATAACAAATATAGATTCCGTTGCCGTATGTAAATATATTAGAATACCAGTAAGAAGACAATGGTGTTTGTATTACAAAGAAGTTATCCGAAGCCAATTTTTCAAAGGCATTTTTAGTCACTCGTTTGACTTGCAAATTATTTTTACTGTCCACTATTTTAGTTACTTTGTAAATATATATTATTAAATTGTAGAACAAAGTTGCAATCAGTGCTATTTAAAATTAGTTTCAATAAAAATATATTGCTCGACCTCATATCATCGTCACAATCTTTAACTAAAACCATAAACTATAGCTGGAAAAATGTAACTCAAACTAGTTTGGTCGACATATTATTTCTGATACGTGTCCACCGATTTTGACGAGACTTTCACTGGATGGTATCTAATGTCTTGGTTTACCTACTTTTTTACCTTCTTTTTAATTATGTGCGTGAGCGACCGCTAGTCGCCTTTTTATATCTTGACACCCAAGTCGATCTGCTTTAGGATTTTAGTTTGTTATTTACTTATTTCTACTTCGTAACAACTGAAATTAATTATTTTTCATAAAAAAAAA